TGAGGGGATGGGGAGAAATGGGGAAGAGAGTGGGAGGAGAGGAGGGAGGGGAGGCTGTAGTCAGGATATAAAATAAATGAATAAAAACTTAAAATGTCTAGAAAAAGAAAGTTTACAGATTCAAATGCATACAAAATGAAATATGTTGGTGATAACTGAATCTCAGAAATCAGAATTTCAAAGCTGCTTTATCCCCCTGGAATAGGGGACTTAACAGACTACAACTTCATGCTGCACTATGACATCTGTGTTCCATCACTAGGGTACTTAGTGATCATCATTGGGAAGCTGAGACCAGCTGATGAGGCTGTCCAGAGGTGAGTAAACATCTTGTCCACTCAAGTAGGTTGCCTGCATCTTTTAAAAATTCATGAGTTGAAGGCAAGTAATGAGGAGGGATGATCTATCCTTAGATGACAGCAATGCTGAAAGTCTATGGGAGGCATTTCTTTAGTCAAGCTAAATTTACAGAGACTAGATTTTTTTTTTTTGAATCATACATACTTGGGTTTATTATCATGACTTAAGTATTACAAACAATGTTAGCACTATCAAGTGAGTGAGATCTCTGTAAGCATGGACAACAAAATCCTTCAAGATGAGGGAACAAAAGAGACCTTTTAAAATATAAAGACTTTTCCAAGCATACTAAGGATCATGATATGTAGTCATGAAAAATGAGACCATGTAGGCAACCGAGCAGGAATGTGATTTAAGACCTTTTAATTAAAATACAAGCTTTATTTATATATATAAAAAGCCTTTATTTGTCAGAAAGATTTGTTTGATACAAAACTAACTGTAGGTGTTCTGGTGACACTCATGAAACAAAGGAAGTCAGAGCACATGTGCCACAGAAGGGATGCTTTAAGATGGCCCCTATCATGACACCTAAGATGACATTGAATGTGATTGCAAGGAAGAATACTCTGATGAGAAAAATTGTTTGTTCAGATTTAAAGAAATTAATACATCAATGATGTTGATCATGATATGAGACTAATCAGGCTATAGCTAGTAACATTCAGTCATTAGACTTGCACTAAGATTTAAGGACAGGAAAATCAGTTCCCATTCTTGACACTCTGTCTTAGAATTCGCAGCCTTGACATCACTACATCCCAGTCAGCATAAGCTCCTTCCAGATGGCGGGATATCTCAGTTCCTGCCTCATAACTACGACGTCCATGGAGCAAGCGCCAGTTGTCAAAGGTAATCACATCACCTAATTCGGAGAAATTTTCAACATGAATAATTTGTGTTTAAATGATTTACAAAGATAGAGATTATTACTTCCAAGAGAGAAATTATGCATTCTGGTACAAATAACAAAATCTCCATGTTCAGATCTGTTGTTTACCATAGTGATTATAATTAGTACTGCATTCATTAAGAAAACAAATACCAAGAAAGTGCAATATTCGAGATGCCACCTCTACTCAGTTCACACCAAGAAATAGCACATTTTTCTTGTAAACAAAATTACACATCTATGGCTTTTTTAAAACTAATTTTGTTACTCGACAATTTTTTACATGTAGATAGTATATTCTAATACTCTCCCTCTACTCTCTCATATCTCATTCCCATTTCTTCCACTGCCTACTTTCATCACATCCAGTCCCTTTCCTAGATTCTTGTCTTGATGTTTTTTGTGACCCCTCTAATTTTTTCAAGGCCATCTATATGACTACTGGGCTGGAACTGTGCATTGGAACTTGCTAGGATCATCTGTGTTACACAACCATAGGCAGTGATTCCCCATATGCATCATGACATTTAGACTTCATAGCTTGATGGGCAATCATGGGTGTGGTTATATAAAACATTTTTGTCTGTGTAAAGCTTTTGTATTGTTCTGCTTTTGAAAACATCAATAATATACATTGCTTCCTGGTTTAAGAACTTCGAGTAACTATAAGGATAGTGAGGTTTTTGGCTGATAGCCTATGTTCTTCATATTTCATATACATTTTTTAAAAAGGGAAATACTTAAAAGAAAGCAGTATTTCATCTCATCATATATGAGAAAACTCAAATTAAGGCATTTACCCAAAGCTACTCTGCCACTAAATGGTGAGGCATGGATTCCAACTCCTACTATTATTTTTTCTCACGATGTTTCTTTTATATGGTGTTACTCCTAAAATCAGCCTGCTCTGACTGCACGCTGAAGGTTTTATGGAGTTATCTAGTTCTATTTATTTACTTTGTTATGTCACAGAGGATTTCTAAAAACAACTCAACTAGTGTGGTATGTGTGTGTGCCTGTAGTCCCATCTGCTTAGGAGAATAAAGTAGGAGTATTGTTGAAATCTAGCTCAGGAGCTAAAGATGTGTGTGTGTGTGTGTGTGTGTGTGCGTGTGTGTGTGTGTGTGCGAGGGCTGGAGAGATGGCTCATCAGTGAAGAGTACTGCTTTTCCAGAGGATGCTTGTTTAATATCCAGCACCCACATGTTGACTCACAGCTGTCTGGAACTCTACCCCCAGGAACTACATTCAGGCAACCTTCATACATACAAAAAAGAGAAGTAAATAAAATCTAAAAAAAATAAGTGATGCCTTTTTAGGACTGTGGGTGATTTTCATATTGCAACTTTTATACCATTTCTTAGAACCTAACTTGTGCTCATGATACTTAATATAATACAGAATTTGATGTATGGGAAGATAGCATCCTTTCTTGGGTTTGAGCCTTGGTGGCTTTATTAAAATAAGGAAACCCACACAGATGACAAGAGTTTTCAGAAAGCTTATTAAGACTATCAGGACAGAAAATGTAAAACAGTCTTCATATTAGACATAGGCTTCATCTGGCATCTCTTCTAAGTATCCTTAGATTGAAGGCTCTTACATTTCATGTGCTAGGATTTCCAAGAGAGCTTGCAAAAAGGACTCTTTTTTAAGTCTGGTGAGTCAATAGCCTAGAAGTGGAGATGGCAGGAATATTCTATTTAGGCAAATCAGCTGCTCATTAATAGTCTGCAGTAACACCAGTCTGGATATCATTTTCCTCCACTCACCTGGATTCATCTTGAAGGTGTACTTGTATTCTTTGCTGTTCATGAGGTCAACAAACTCTTTCAGAGCAGAGTAGAAAGGCTGAACTCTTTCAATGGGGACATCGAAGATGGTATCTCTGGTTGCATTGTTAAAGTTGATGCGAACCACTTGGCCTTTATCATCCAACCTGTTTTATTTAATAGGCAAAATTAACATCATATAAGGGCCAATTTCTCTTAGAAGACATGTCATAAATACAGCATACATAAAAACACACAAATTAAACATAATGGGGCGATTCGATGTTTAGATATATGTATCTAAATTATGCATATTGTGCCTATTTATATCAAGTTAAAAGCCTGAATAGCATTTTTTTAAAAAGTAGTGTTTGAATTTAGCTGTCAAGTTATAACTAAGATTCTTGAGTTGCTGGGGCAGCTGCACATGCTTGTGGGAAGTTTGAGGCATGAGTATCTCAGGGTGAACACAACATGAACTGTATAAAGATACTGTATCTCCAAAGGGGGAAATTTCTCATCTCACAAGTCACCAAAGAACACCAAAGATTTATTTTTATCTAAAACTTAAACTTATCTTTTCTCCACATTTTCCATCCAACCTCTTCAGAAAATCATCTGTTTCTACCCATAACATGTATGAAAACTCAGGAAAGTTTGACAATGCTAGTTTCTTCCTTACAAAGTCTGTAGAGCTACAAATCCCCTTCATCACAAACTTGAACTCTTGAACTCTGCTTTCCTTTATTTTTGGATCATGTGCATCTCTTCTTTTTTTTTTTTTCCCCACTGGTTGCTCATATCAGTTTATTTGAAATCAACACAACATAACACTCAGTCACTCAGTGGAACTTTTACCTAAGGAGCCTCTTTCTTGCGGCTCATCACTGAATTCATACCCGAGGGTGATCCTTCAGTTGCAGCATGTCTAGGGATTGGGAAATATCATGTGCATCTCTTTAAACATTAATATAATTTGGCAGAAAAATTTACCCCCCCCCCATCTAAGTTCTATAAGGCCAGGGATCTTTGTTTTTTTCTCCCACTGATGCTTCCCAAGTACTAAGCAGTAACACATAAGGCAATTTTCAAATGAAAAGTTAAACCAGTGTCCTTTTTATGATCAAGGAAATCATGATTAAATAATGTTGAAAGAAAAATATAGGGTGGGGGAGATGTGTCAGACAGCAATTGCTTTCTGTGTGTGAGGCTTAGTGAGAGTCCCTGTCTCAAAATAAAGGGAGAAAGGTAAAGAACATTTGAGAAACACACTCTAGCCTTCACATGAACATTCACAAACATACATCTATATACACAGGTACATACATACACACACACACACACACACACACACACACACACTATAAAATAAGAAACAAACACCAGGTGGTGGTGGCACACACCTTTAGTCCCGAATATGTAAAAAAGAAAAAGAAAACATAGAGAAAAGTATTCTAATTAAGAATGAAGGACCAACCTTGTCAAGGAAAATAAGATGTTTCTCATCATGTACTCACATTGAAGTTAACAAAAAAGAAAAAAACTAAATAGTCTATGTAGGACATAAATATGATTTCTGCTGACTTAGCACTCTTAGGGGTGTTTCATTCTTAGTCCATGTGGCAAAAATGAGACAGATTCTGCTCCAGAGATGCACATGGGATCCAGCTATGGCCAAGCAGCACTCTGCAAGCCCTTGGTAGGTCATCTGGTGATTGTCTCATGGACAGACTTAGACAAGACTGGGCAGGGAGTCATCCAGATGTGGCATAGTTTTTGAAATACAAGTGCTATCCTTGTGCTGGGGTTGCTAGCAAAAAGGATGATGAAGAACTTGGAGCTTATGAGATTTATCTTTGGAAATCAAGCCAAAAATAGATGACAAAGCTAAGAAGAAAAAGCTGACAGCTCCTGGTTGACAGGGTTTAACTCCTGTATCTATTCTCTTTTATATTCTTTCACTTCCAGCTGTAAACTTTCTAACACCTATAATCAATCTCACTGACAAGTCAGAGTTTATACTAAAAAATGAAGTATGTATGAATTCTTAGTTATCCAAAAATTTAATATTGATTGAGAACAAATTTCATGTTGCTTGGTGACTTTTTTAAATGACATTTTTCTTCTAGCAACATCTTAAACCACAGCTTTGGAGTTAATCAAAAGCTTTCTGCTTTTTAAACCTGTTTCAATGATAGGGGATTTATAAGACTACTCACTCTATTATCTTGTGTTTAGATTGCACAGAGAAATCACAGTAATCTATTCCAATGTCTGTAAAATCCACGAAGGTGGAGGACAGAATGTGGAATGCCTGAGGATTCTTCTCCTTGAGCTTTTGGCACACATTAAACCCATCTACAATTTCAGAATCACCTCCTGTGACTGTTTGCTTTATGCAGTGCAGAAGCTGAACCTGTAAGGAGAAATGGAGAAATAGGTCAAGATAATGGCACCCATCCACTTCTAAAAACTATGATGTTAAATATTTTAAAAAGATACAAATAGAAAAAAAATCAATAAACTTCAAAACATCTATTTTCTGATGTCAGTATTGAGGGGAATTAGGGAGATGAAATATTGCTTACAATAATGTGGTATAATTCAAGCCTGCTGCAGTTAGAGGCAGGGAGCACAGCATGCTGCTGCAGGCAGGGAAGGCATCAGTGGAAGCAGGTTTAAGCTGGCCAGAGGACTATGGATATGACCTGAGTTACATAAAGGAATTAGAATGCAAAGAGGTGACTGTAGTGATATTTTGTTTGTAATCTAACAAATAAAGCTTGCCTGAAGATCAGAATGCAGAGCTAAGCTACTTATTAGCCACACATCTAGTTAACAGCTAAGCCACTAGTTAGCCACACTCAATAAGTCATTAGTTAGTCACACACCTAAGCTACTAGTTAGAGCACAGGCAGTGGTGGCCACACCTCTATTCCCAACACTCAGGAGACAGAGGCGTGTGGATATCTGTAAGTACAAGGCCACCCAGGGCTGCTACATAAGAGTGAATCAGTCTAAAAGAGAAACAGAGCTCACATCTTTGATCTCAGCACTTGGGATGACATGCCTCAAACCCCAGCACTAGAGAGGAATATAATGCAGGAGCTCAGAGCAGTCTAGGCAGTCTGAGGAGCAGTGCAGTTTGGAGATGCAATCAGAGGATATGATTGCCCCTTTGGTCTGAGCATTGGTAGAGGTGAGAACTCTAGTAGCTGGCTGCTTTGCTTCTCTGCTCTTCAGCTTTAACCCCAATATATGTCTTTGGGTTTTTATTATTCATGCTATAGGTGATGGTAATGATAGGGCTAAAAAAATATATAGTGTACTGAGTAATAAAAAGATTGGATACAGCAGAGCGTTGTAATGGGTGGGGTAGGCCAGATTGAAAGGATAATTGTGTTTTGTCTCTAATAACCTTAAATGTGAATGCATAAGGGACATTGACTCTGGAGATAACATGGACTGCACTGAAGAATTGTAGTGTCACTCAGACAACTAATTTTAAGATGGGAACAGGCTAAGCCAGAGCTACTTGCAACTCTAATGAGACCATTCAGACTGAAAGCTATAAAGGCAATGAAGTTGGCTATGACTGTGGGAGGATAGGTAAATACAAGAAACACTAGAAATGGTGAACCAAATGGGAAAGTATTAATTGGACTATGTTTTAGTAGAACATGATGAACATATTATAATTTGAAAGTCAAAACAGAAAAACTAAAGAATTGTTTTGTGAATAGACTTTTTCATTGATTTTGTGCCTCTTTTTGACAGGTTAGTTAGGTTGGGTGATTCTGAGCACCGAAATTTAGAGCCTGGTTTTCTGCTTGAAGGATTTAATGGTATTGTTAGGAAATCTTCACTTTTACTGATTGTAATACATTTTAAATTATTGTCTCACTGATTTCTCGTACAATGAAAAAACAAAATGTGACCAGATATCCATACTTGGGTGGATATCAGTGTTAGTGAGAAAAATATTCATTTGGCTTGGTTTTCTCCATGTGTGGTTTAGAACAGTGGTCATCCAGACTTTCTGAGGTGATGGACAAACTCTTCTTTGTTGTGTAATATGGTAATCACCAGTTCCACATGGCCACTGTACACTTGAAATACAGTTATTGTGACTAAAGAATTTAATTTAAAATTGTATTTAATATTTATTTTTTGAACATATCTGTACATGGAGTGTGCATGTGTATGCATGTTTACATGCATGGGGGTACACATGCGTGTAGTATATGTGCACATGTGCACATGTGTACAGAGGCCCAAGGTTAGCAATAGGCATTTCCCTCCATTGTTCTCCATTTTATTCATTGAGGCAATGTTTTTCAGTTGAACCCAGAGCTCACCAATAAGCTAGCTAGCGAAGCAGGTTGATCAGCGGATCCTCTGTGGATGTTTTCTAAGTGCTGAAATTACTGGAGTACGGCAATGTGGTGATCCAAACCTTGGCCCTCACACATGCCTGGCAGGTGTTTTATCCACTGAGCCACAGGGTTTTTTCCCAATTTTTATGATTTTATACACAAGTTGTTCTCAAATGATAATTGTGTCGTGTACATTACTTTTTATAATAGTACTTAGAATTTGATAAATTTGTCTTCATTTTGCAGATGGAGTGATTGAAATATAGAGGTGTCAAAGCTCATAATTAAAAATTCAGTTAATACATTGATAAAGATGGTATTCAAACTTTGGTCCATTTTCCACAAATCCAAAACACAGAAAGTCCCTCTCCTTTGAGGGGATTCATTTATAGAGCTCTTAGAAATCCAGTCTTTCTGGGCAGTGGTGGCACACGCCTTTAATCCCAGCACTCGGGAGGCAGAGGTGGATGGATCTCTGAGTTCCTAGACAGCCAAGGCTATAAAGAGAAATCCTGTCTCAAAAAAACCAAAAGGAAGAAAATATAGACTTAGGTGTTTATGTACATATGTGTAAAAAGTCAATTCTTATTTCCCAATGTTGGAAGATATCTCAAACAAATAAATAAGGATTCAGTATTTAAATGGAGGCAAATTTTAACCTTGAAAAACATATTAATTTCTTGATCAAGCCATTTTAGAAAACTCATTTCAACAGGTTAAGGAGCGATCAGGCAACATGATAAAACAAGAGAGAAATCAACATGTCATCTTCGAGTCTACAGAGTTCCAAAACACACAAGAACACAGCTCTGTCCCCACTAGAATCACAGCAGCTCAATTCTTTTGGATTTTGCTGTAATGAGTCCACTGATTCAAATGTTGGCTTTTAAAAAGGCTAGTTGATATCTTTCACATGTGACTAGGCCAAATAATATCTCCTTTTTGTGTAGTTATATTTTAATACAATTTTATAAAAGAAAATAGATTATGAAGCCTGACAACGTTTCCACCACTAATCCAAAAGCTAAATATACTCCTGTCATGTATAAAATCCAATTTTATTTCACATAAATCATTCAGAATAAAAAAATTCCTTTCTAAATATTTCCTTATGGAAGCATGTGACTTTTGGCCCAGAGAAAAAAGTAAGCAAAGCCACATCTGTGTATCATTTAAGTTATGTCTCCTCATCCTGATCAAGCTGAACCCTCACTAGGAAACTCATTTTCCAGATCATTGCAAGTATACTGAAAAGGACATTTACCTTTTTTATTTGTTAAAGGAAAGATTAAACTCTGGAATTAAAAAAATTTCATAATTCAAAATGGAAGCTGCACAATAAGACAGATGGGCTGTGTATGTCCTTCTGTTAGAATGAAAACATGTCAGGGGTCATTATTTAAAGACCACAGAAAGTCATTGGCCTTTGATGCCTTGTTTGCCATGCATCACTCTGTGGCTTGTCTAGAGCAGATCTCTCTTGCCTCTATTCGTACATAAGATGATTTAGGCTACAAGATATAAAGAAGTACAAGGTCCAGTACTGTCCTTGAAGAGTTTTATAAAATATGACAATGTCTACAAATAACCTATCACATCACAGACTATGGAAGTTAGTAACTCAGTTCTGGAGCATGCTGGTGTGTCAAAAAATCTAGGCAGAGATGTATGTTCACGTTCAGGGTCCTCATTTGTTAGTGGTTATCCTAGAAAAACCTTCCACTTTATGCCCCCATCTAACACTGCAGGGCATGATCAAGCTTGCCAACCCTAAAGGACTTCTAAGAGAGATCATGTAAAGAAATGGAAAACTCTGAGAAAGCATAAAATACTGTATTATACTTTAGGTATATCTAGGAAACCATTTAATAATTTTTCTTAGGATTTCAGTTTTAATTTAGAAGCAAACTTAAATTCTGAAAGAGTAAAACACAATTTAAAAGGTCAAGTAGGACTTCAAGTTATTCAACTCCATTTTTTAAAGTTGTTCTACATTTAATGTCTCCAAGCACTTGTTAGCAGTTGGAATGCATTGAGTGGTTTGGTGTCACTGTACCACGTTCAGAAAAAGCCTCACTGGTTCTCTTCTTCTCCAGCTCCCAACCAAAAAGCTGATCACAGGAGTAATCTCTCTGTCATCATTTGGTTCACAGAAACCATATGGTGTTTTACAATCAATATAATAGTTTAAAACATATGAAACCAAATATTAGACTAAATAATTCTGGCAAGAATGATATGTAATAAGCAGGGCACAGAGAAAACACGTTCAATTAAGATGATGACCAAAAGGAATTAATTTTGTATTTTGGCACATTTATTCTTAATTAACTCAAGAATTGCCCAACTTCTGATCTACCTTTGAAGATATAGATTTGTAGGAGGTTGTTTCAGTTCTGTTCAATTTAGCTAAAAGATGAGGGCTACACTCTCTTTAGTATCCTGACAATCTTCTTTTTGGTTTAAGAAAATAATGATTTTGTTAAAATGTATTTGGTTTGAAAGATGATGGTTTGTAAAGATGGAGAGAAAAAGTGTCCAGTCAGGAATCTCCTGGATAAAACTGCTATGCACGATGCGTCTTCTTTGGCAAGGAAGCTTGTGGGTAGGACAGGCAAGGGCTTCCAATGCTATCCAATATTATCATGGTTATCCTGTTCCTTCTGCCGATATCCCTTGCAGTTTTTCATGTGAGCATTCTACTTTCTTATCCCCTCTGTCTGGACCAGCCTCATTAATTGCTTTGATCAATGAAACATAGCTGAAGAGACCTTATGCTAATTACTGGCCAAGGTCCCAAGAACTCAGACATGCTTTGGCTTCCCTAAGGAAAATGTTCCCAGCTGCCATGTGAGAAAGCCTAGGCTAGCCTGTTGAAAGATGATAGACTAGGGGAAGCAGAGGCAAACCATCTCAGCATCATCTGAAATGAGCTATTTCCCAGCGAATTTAGCAGCCAGATGACTGAAAACAATAACTGCTGAGCCGAACACAGCCCAAATAGTAAAAACATATGTTCTGTGTATTTAGCCATTTATTAAAATAATCATCATCATCATCATCATCATCATCATTCATTCATTCATTCATTATTATTCTTTGTCACTATCAGGGATCGAATACAGAGCCTCATGTACGTTGGTCAAGTACTCTTACCATTGAGCAACACACCACAGTAGTATTTTGTTAAGCTTTTAATTTCACATGTACTGTCCATCAGTTCAACCTTGTGTTTGTGTGATGCATATATGTGATGTGAAGTCAGGTGAACACATGCCCATGTGTGTACATGAGTAGGCTCGAGCAGGATGCCAAATGGTCTTCTTCTATTGGCTGTTCTTTTAAGCTGTTAAACTGTGTAGGCCTCATACTCTCTCTCTCTCTCTCTCTCTCTCTCTCTCTCTCTCTCTCTCTGTGTGTGTGTGTGTGTGTGTGTGTCTGAGTGCGCATCACAGGTCAACATTGGTATCTTCCTCAATTACTCTCCACCTTATTTTAGAGACAGGGTTTCTCACTGAACCTGTAGCTCACCAATCAGTCTCACTAGTTGGCTAGCCCAGAGCTTGGAATACAGACACATACAACCAACCACATCTTTTTACCTGGGTGACAGGCATCTGAATGCAGGTATTTATGTTTGCGCAGCAAATGTTTTTGTCAATTGAGCCAGCTCAAAAAACCCCAACTTGCAAAGTTTTAAATTTATTTGCTGATACCAATGATGGACATGTGACTTCATACTACATTTCCACATTTTATTCTTTTTTTTAAACTCTCATGGGAGTGATATATGTGCAGAAACATCTCAAGATATATTGCTGTCTTAAAATCTGTCTTGGCAAAGCAAAATGCTCCAATAATTATTTCCAAGAAGAAATAAAGAACTGATCTGTAAAAAGATGAGTGAAAAATGTCCCTTTCCCTTTAAAAAGTGAGGATGTTCAGGACTTAGGCATGAGATGTTTGTGAGCTCATATTTCGTTTCAGAAAAGAAGATGTACATGAGACAAATCCAGCAGTGACCTCCAAAAACTAGACAGTTCAGGAGAACATTTTTCCTTGGCCTGGCTTGTGGAAAATGTGTTGAAGCTCACCTTACCCCAGGTGGATGGTGGAGAGCTGGGTAGTCAGTGTGGAAGCTGAGCTTCCCAGTTGTATAGGCCACATTGTTGGCATCAATCTTGTCCTGCACTTGCCAAGTGTGTCTGCAAAATACAAGAAACATGTGTTTTAAAAGATTGACACCAACCCAGAGGAAATGTGTTATAATGCATTTGCTCTGTGAGGGGAAATGGAAACTTTCCATTTCATGAAACAATTAACATAATGACTAAGAGGCAGAAAAAGAAGTTTAACCTTTCTTTCTCTTAAGTGACTCTTTCAGAACTGGCATTTCTGTATTTCTTCTGTCAAGACACAAAAGAACAATACACATAGTCTCTCCTATAGAATTGGTAGAGAGGTGTATATGGGATTACGAGACATTTTTTAAAAGCTTAACACATATGCTTTGCTACAGAAAATTCATGCAGTATAAAATGAACAATTTAAAAGTGAACATGTCATGGCACTTAGTATGTCTAAATGGTAGCAGCACTACTCAGCAGAGTGAATCTAAAATCATTTGGTCATTCATAGCTAAAACTGTTTGGTGGTTTGAATGAGAATGTCCTCCTTAGGCACAGATATTAGAACAGTTGGTACCCAGTTGGTGGTGGTATTTGGGAGGTTTATGAAGTATGGTCTCATTGAAGGAATTATTTTACTGGGGTAGATTTTGAGAGCTTATCACCTTATTCTACTTGCACTTTTCTCTAAGCTCTGAGCTTCCTGTTCCTGCCACCATGCCTGCGGATGCTACCACAATGTATTATTATTCCTCTAGAACTGGAAGCTCAAATAAACCCCTCCTTCTGTAAGTTGCTTTAGTCATGGTGTTTTATCACAGCAATAGAAAAGTGACAGTTTAAAGCTCTCATCTAAGTGTATAGTTTCTTCTCATTCTGTTCTCTTGTATATCCTTGAGAACCACTGATATGCACTGCACTTTGTCTTTACATATTTACCTATTTTGAGTATTTAATACATGAGAGATGGTACAGTGTTTGTCCTTTTGTGCCTGACGTTTTTCGGTCTGCATAATGTTTTCAAGATCCATTCATGGTATTAAAGCACATCTTATCACATCACTTTCCTTTATAGCTGAAACATCCTCCTGTGTTCTGCTGGGTGGCTAAATCCTGTATTGCTCATAGGGAGAGAACACAATGTGCTTAATCTATTTTTCATTGGTGTGTTCATTTGAGCTGTGTCTGCTTTTTGGTTGTTACATGCAGTGCCACGCTGGACACATGTGTACATGTACTTATTTGAGTACCTGTTTCTAGTTTTTAAAACATAACCATAAGAGCACAATGGAAGGTTAGTAATTGTTCTGGGTTATATCTTTGAGGAATGGCCAAACTATTTTCTATAACAGCTGTATCATTTTCATGCTGAGTAACAAGGTTTGGGGTTTTTAAATCCTTAACACCCACACCTATAATGTACAATGCCTGGTTTTAGAAACATTGTTATCATAGTATACCCAGTTAATGTTGCATTATTATGGTTTTGATTTGTATCTTCCTAATAACTAATTATATTGAATATCTCATAATGTGCTTGCTGGGCATTATTGCATCTTTGTAGAATTATCTACCCAAATTATTTTTAGATTGAGTTACATTTTTTGTTGAATCATAATAGTTCATTATATAGCTAGGATACAAGACTATTGTCATGAATCTGGTTTATGAAAACTTTCATGTATTGTATAGATTTTTTGTATTTTCTTGTAATTATAAAGAAGATTTACTTATATTATGTATATGTATGCATTTCTGAGTATGAGCACCATTTGCATGTAGTTCCTTCAGGGCCATAAGTGGGCATCAAGTCACCTGGAACTTGAGTTACAGATGGTTGAACACCTTCCAATGTGAGTTTGGGAACTGAATCTGTGTCTATGGCAAGAGATGCCAGTATTCTTAACTACTGTTCTGTCTCTCCAGCCTCACATCAATGAATGTCCTTTGATGCTCATATGTTTTTAATTTTTGTGGAATGCAACTTATCTATCTTTTCTGTGTTGGACATACTTTTGGTATAGTAGCTACAAATCAATTTTTCAAACCACAATCATTAAAATTTACCTGTGTATTATCTTCTAAGAATTTTATTGATTTATAGCTTATTTTTTAGCTCATTGATTCATTTTGGTTAATTTTTTGTAAGAGAGTCTGAGACAGAAGATCCAATTTTATTTCCTTGCCAGTGGATACCAGTTGTCCAAGCACCATTTACTGAAAACACAGTTTGTTCCATACCAAATGTCCTTGATATCTCTGATGAGAATCAGAGTTAGCCATAAGGAATAGGTTTATTTCTAAGCTCAATAATTTACCTGCTTTACCAGTATCACCATGTAGTGATTATCAAAAATTAGCTTTGTCTATTTGTAGCCCCTTGAAATTTAAATAAACTTAGTTTTCAATCTATAAAAGAGAAGGGTAAACTTGGTGGAGATTTCATTGACTCTGTAGGTAGAATTAACATCTTACTACATATTTCTATAACATCTTTAACATCTATTGACATCTTACATATTTCTATAAGAACTCAAGGCATTCTTTCATTTATTTAAGACAATTTATTTCAATTGTATGATTTTCACTTCCTTGTTTGCATTTATTATTTGCTATTTTATCCACCTTGATCCTATTTGAAATTCCAGTTGTCTTAATTTACTTTTCAGATTGCTCATTGTTGGTATATATAGCTACAGTTAAGTTTTACTTATTCATCTTGTACCCTGCAACTTTGCTGATTTGAATTATTAGTTGTGGTAGCAGATTTTGTATATTTCATTTCCTTCCTTCCTTCCTTCCTTCCTTCCTTCCTTCCTTCCTTTTTTCTTAACAATCTACTTATCCATCATCTATCTATTTATCTATCTATCTATCTATCTATCTATCTATCTATCTATCTATCTAATATATTCTAGTCTACCTATCATTATATATTTATCTATAATCTACCTGTCTTCTATTATTTATCAGTAAATATATCCTATTTTTCTGAAACAACCAGAAATATATTGAATAGTGGTGGCAAAAGCTAGCATCTTTGATCTATTCCTTTTCCAAATGGAAAATGATCAGCTTTTATTACACTATTGGAATGACTAGTTAGGTGACAAAATAAAAAATGAAACTCTTACACAAACCCTGTCCCAGTCATAATAATTTTCTTCTTTCCAGAGTAACCATAACCATAACTTCAATAGTTACCCCTTTTGGCATTTCATTATAGTCTTATGACCTAAATATATATCCATCAACACTATGCTTAACTGTGCTTAGAAAATATTTGTTATATTTACTATATCTTTTAAGTATCTTTCATTTTTTGCATGTGTGTTGTGTGTGTGTGTGTGTGTGTGTGTGTACATGTTCAAATGCATGTGGGACACATATTGTGCAAGTGCTTGTATATATATGTGTAGAAGCAAGAGATTGACAATGGTAGTCTTCTTCAATCACAACTGAAGAGAATCTCCGTTGAACCCATTGCTCATGGATTTGGCTAGTCTAGTTGCCAGGTTGCTCCTGTCTCCACCTTCTGAACACTAGAATGGCTGGCAAGCCACTATGCCCACACAACATTCATGTGGATCCTGGGATCTGATCGCTGGCCCTTATGCTTACACAGCAATTGCTTTATCTACTAAGCTGCCATTCTTGACTCTCTGTTAAGTCTCTTATCTATAGGTTTCCTCTTCAAACTGTTCTCTCAATTCAGTGTTTGAAGAACTATAGGATTTTGACCTTTAGAGCATCCCAGTTTGGACTTGAACTGCATACTCGAGGTGAATCCATTCAATACATTCCTCTGTTTTCTGTACCACTAGAAAATTAGCAACTAAATGTGGAGTCTTGGGATTTAAGATAAAAGCATAGCTGGCCTGGGAAATGTATGGCAAGGAACACAGTACATGACTTGCTTTTGGGGTACAGCCTTGCTGCATAGATAGTGAAATGGGGGGGATCCTCATTCTAGAATAGTTGAATTTAGGAAGTCTGCAGTATGGTATGGGATCAAGTAATCATGAATTTCAGACACTAACTCAACAAGTCTCCCTTGCATGGCATAGCTTCTTTCTGAAGAAGGGCCTCCACATTAAGCAATACATCATCCACAACAACAAAGGGAAGACAGCTGTACAGGTAACAACAGTTCAGGAGAGGAACAGGTGGCTTTAGAAAGCTATGAGTTATAGTGTTGAAATGGAGCTTTAAAACCGTAAGTTCGGGTTTTGAGAGCATCTCTCCTTTTTCATAGCTTTTTTAAAAATGTTTAATCTCCTATGAAACTAGCAACAGAACATTGTGAAGTTCGTCAGGAAGAAAACAGCACAAGTAGTAAAATAACAGAGTACTGACAACCCCTGCCAGGTGGATACGGCTTTCCCAAGATGGAAAGTATCATATTTTCCTCTTTTTAAAAGAGCTTTATGGTAGTTCACATCTTTAATCACTGGAATTTAAAACTAGAATCTCTGAGTTTAAGGCTAGCTTAGTCTACATAGTGAGATCGTTTCTCATAAAGAAAAAAATAAACAGGATTTATTTTTATTATCTCTAGGGATGTGTGCATTGGTGTATGTGTTTGTAGGAGCTTGCAGAGACCAGGATAGGTTATCAGATCTTCTGGAGCTGGAGTTACATGGACTTGTGTGCCGTGTGAGGTAGGTGCTGGGATCTGAATACTGGTCTTTTGGAAGAGGAGCATGAGCTCTTAACCTTAATTGCTGTCTCTCTAGACCCACAGTTTTCTATTTTTTCCTACTTCTAACGAGCCAGCAGTCTTTAATGAAATGATTCAATATGTGAAGAATAACCTCCATTAGAAATAAATATTCGGGCCAGGTGGTGGTGGCACACGACTTTAGTCCCAGGACTCAGGAGGCAGAAGCAGGCAAATCTCTGTGAGTTCAAGGCCAGCCTCGTCTACAAGAGCTAGTTCCAGGACAGCCTCCAAAGCCACAGAGAAATCCTGTCTCGAAAAACCAGAGGGGGGGGGGAGATACTCAATACAGAATGGTACATTTAGGAAAGAAAAAGAATCCATAAGTGAAGAATAAACTAGAATCAATGAGAAATCA